CCCCAAACCCCTCGCGGGCCCCCCCCGCTGCTGCTCAAGGTTGGGGCGGGTCAGGGGAGGCCCCCATAGATGGGCTGTGTGCAGCTGCCTGCACTGGCTCAGGTGGGAGGGCAGCCTCCTGCTTCCAACTTCGTTCTCCAGCAGTGTCAACTCATCCCAAAACTGACTGCAAAAGTGCCCTCATTCCCCATTGTCATCCTGCCAGCTGGCACACGGAAGAACCTCCAATGCCCTGACACCCACTGAGAACCCAGGAGGGGGCAGAGAGGAGCCCTGGGGTACCTCTGCAGCCCTGAGAGGGGCTGGGAGTGCTGGGGCTCTGCCCTGAAGGCCAGAGGGGAACACGTGTGCACTGAGGCACCCCAGGGCTCTGCAGGCAGGAGGGGGCTGCCAGCCAGTCCTGCCAGCTCAGGGCAGGGGGCAGAGCCATGGTCTGAGCTCATGGCAGGGACAGATGTCCCCTCTCCTTGGGGCTGGACCCACAGCCACCAGCTCCTCGCCGCATAGCTGAGCCCATGTGTCACGAGTTGCCTGTTTACCGCCCCGTGCCAAGGCAGGTGCCTGTGCCAGCTCCATTTAGCCACTCCCAGTCCAACCCTACATGCTCACCACAGGCTGGGACCTCCTTGCCAGCCTGAGCACCCAGAGTCCCCACCCTTCCCAGCAAGGCCAGCCACCCACAGCTCCCAGTTGGAGTAGGCAGTGACCTTCAGGGTCACTGGGGACCGCAGCTGTCCCCAGCCTGGAGATGCCTGTCCAGGCAAGGCCAGGAAAGCTCAGGCATCTGCTCAGCCACAGGTGGCTTCGCTGTCAGGACAAGGGCCCAGCACTCTTTGACATACAAATACTACCTGTTCCTGCCAAGCAGGCCAGGGCAGCCAACTCACCACAGCCAGGCAGGTGCTCAAGGGGCTTTTACCAGCTCCAAGCTATGATGCAGACACTCCAGGGCCAGTGAGGTGTCCTCATCTCCCAGGGGAAACTGAGGCACGGCGACATCCTGCCATGAGCAAGCTCATGGGTTTGGATTTCCCAGAGCTCTGGGGCATGAATGAGGGCTGGATCCTGCTCCATGCAAACAGGACTTCAAGTGCAAAAGCACCAAAAAAAGTGTGAGATCCCTGGCACCACTGGCAGGAGGGAAAGTCCATAAGATCCTCCTCTCCCATCCCGTGGCACACTCCTCCAGCAGCAGCCACCTGCCCCTAGCTCTGCTGCCCACCGGTGTCCCATTCTCCAAGGTGACAGGCATTTCTGCAGGAAAGCTTTGGCCACCGACCGCCCCGTGAGCCCTAACCTTTCTCCAGGTGCTTGCCAGGCAGGGGTGGCTCAGCCCAGGCACCCTCCGTGCTCTCCTCACGCTGGATGTTGAAGTTCTCATAGGAATCCCACCGGATAAGCGGGTCAGACGTGTTGTAGTCCACAGAGACACTGGGCCCATTCTCCAAGTGCTCCATGCCTGGGAAGAGGTGGGACAGTCAGCTGGGGTTACAATGGAGCCAGTGTGGGTGGGATGGAGGGAGAAGATGGAGGGAAGGTACAGGCAAGAAAAAGAGAGCAGGAGCTGTAGGGCAAGGCAGCATAGTCAAACAGGAATGGGAACACTGAGAAGGATGGATTGGCATGGGAGGTACATCAACACCCACAAACAAGGCATACAAACAAGGCTGGGGCTCTTGGGATTGCCTAGGGACTGGACTGAAAAGTGAGTGTAGGTCTGGACCTTTTGGGTGGGGGGGTCATTCCTTCCCAAACAATCCCTCCCTTTCTCCGGGGCCAGCAAGTGCTACAGAGAGAGGACTCCTGGAGAAGACAGCAAGGGCAATAGGGCACCCGTGGGTGTTCCTAGATCAGCATCACTGCTTGGACCCCTCATCCCACCCCGGGTGACAAAGGGACTGCAAATGGGGCAGGGAGAGTTCACAAGGGAGGCAGCAGGGGATACAGGTGGGGAGCAGGAGAGGAGCCAGCATCCAGCTCCAAACCCCTGCAGTGGTGAGCCAACCATACCTTGGATCTTCTCAGGGCCATAGGAGAACACAAACTCCACCTTCCCATACTCAGGGAAGCGGTCATCTGGGAGGGAAGAGCAGAGCAATGAGATCATCTCCATTGATTCCTCTGATGGCACCCAGACAGTCACTCCAAACATGCCCGGAGCAGAGGGCACCCACCCCAGCCAGCAGAGGATGGGAGCTGATAGGGGATATCCCAGCATGAGGCAGCACATCTCAGCTCCCAAACAACCAAGTACATGGATGGAGCAGGGGTGCCCTGCTTCATCGGGGTGGACTGGGGGTGGGTGCCCAGATGTCCCAGCAATTGGAGTGCATCAGAAGAGAGGGAGGAGGAAGGAGTTTGGGTGGGGAGGTGCTGTGCTGGGGTGGTTACCTCTGAAGGCCTCGTCCAGGTCCTCCTTGCCAAAGACGACGTCAAGGTCATGCACGGCACACGTGTGGAACTGCACACGGAAAATCACGTCACGGGTCGGGCTGCGAAACTTCTTGTGGTAACACTTCAGCTGTGAAGGGGAGCAGGAACCAGCCATCAGGACAAGCCCCTGGGGCTGGGCAAGGGGGAACTGGGGGGTTCTGAGGACCACCCGTCCCCAGGCTGCTCCCTGCACAGCAGGCTGAGACAAGGCTCCTTACCAAGATATCGCCCTTGAGGAGCAAACCAGGCTCAATGGTAATGCAGATGCCTGTCTGGCTGTCTCCTTGCACGTTGCTGCAGAGAGGGAAGGCAGGAAGACCTGAGTTGCACTGCAGAGCCACCCCAGAGCTCTTAGCACTGCCTCACCCAGCCCCTTTCACCTAAACCCAGCACAGAGCTGGCCCTCCAGGTGACAAAGAAGGGTCCTGTCCCACAACCCAAAGGGCACCCACTTCCAGGAAGAGGCAGGCAGGAGTGGGGAACTGAGGCACAGCTCAATGAAGATGCTAAAAATCCCAGGTGGGAGGGTTTGACTGAGGTCTGAGTGCTGGGGCTGGGTTACCGGGTTGTCCACACTGCTCCCATGGTTTGACTGGAGCATGGAATGAGGAGGGAAAGCTCTTGGGGAAGACTCTCCTCCCTGCCTCAGTTTCCCTGCTGGACGCCTCTCCTTCCCTCCCTGGGCACAAGGAGGCTGCCTCCAGGCAGTGGCGTCACCAGTGGTGGATGAGGGAAGAAGGGAGTTGGATTTCACAGGCAAGATAAACCTGGAGTTTATTACCAGCATCCCATAAACTGTCTATTAAAAGCTGAAAGGCAAGGCTGGGATGGCAGTAAAACTCAGCTAACAGGGACACCCGGCTGCAGGGTAGGGAGATCCCAGTTCTGGGAGGTGAGCTGGGAATACCCCCAAGGCGAGGGGCTCTGTTCCTTCTACAGGGGGCAGGACCCAGGGATCCCAGGCTGGGATGAGACCCTGGAAGAGCACGAGGATGGCTGGAGAAACCAGGTCCTGCTTTGCCTTTGCCAGTGCCTGCTCTGGGAGCAGCATCAAAAAATAGTGTCAGAATAAATCAGGGGAAGGTTAAAATGGGTGGGAAACTCTATATTTAGGAAGGAAACAAAGCTTTTAGGACGATTCCAAGCAGGGAGAGGAGAAACGCCTTCATTCACCAAAGAGGGTGAGATGTCCCCATCCCTGTCCCTGCTCCCTCCGGGGACACCCAGCCCCAGGCTCTGCACAGCCCCGGGCTCCCTCTGCTGATACGCAAAGTCACTACAGCTCTCCCGGCCCAGTATGGCCCAATATAGTCAGTTACCACCTCCAGGGAAAGGGCAGCCCCTTTTTTTAGTTCCCGGGTCCACAAATGGACTAAGCACAGGGCATTGGGACCGCTAGGGACTTGGCCTTAACCCTCTCCGTGTACCCCCACTTGCCAAGCCCACCACCCTGGGAAGGAGGAAAGCCCCAAGCCCCACAGTGAGGAGATAGTTACTAGATCCCCGAGGTGTAGACGGGCTGCATGGCCTGGTAGATTTTCAGGAAGGGCCGACAACCTGGAAGACATCAAGGCAGGGAGAGAAGGCACGATGATATTAGCCAGGAGGGTGGAGGGGCCGGGTCAGAGATTAGTCATGGGGGAGAAATTCAAACAAGGAGGGAGCCAAGGCAAACAGCCGCTCCCTGCCCCGGCTGGCCCGGACCAGCCATGGGCAACATCTGGAATGGGCAGAAAGGGATGCTCCAGATGTAGTGGAAAAGGGGCAAAGCCCTTCTAGCCCAGTTTGGGCCCTTTAGGACCTGGGGCAAGCACTGGGCTGGGGATGGAGGTGGGAAGGTGGTCTCTGTGTGAGGGATCACTTCTGGATACTGGCACCAGGCATGGTACTGCATCCCAAACCCAACCCAAACTTGATGCCATCTTCCAAAAAGCCATTGGAAAAGGCTCATCACAGCTTGGGGTTAGTGCCCAGCCCTGGGAGCTCTGAACAAGGGGGCACTCCCCAGGGACATCTCTGGGGGGAAAGGGTAGTCACAAAGAGGGAACAGTTCCTGAGGGTGAAAGAGAAATCCAAATTGCTGAGGAAATTGTGGAAAATATCCCCTGTGGAGAAACAAGCCCAGACAGGGAGTGTGGGCAGGATTTGTGTGCATGGGGGCTGAACTGGAGGGAGACATGGGGGAACTCACCGCCTTTCGACTCAAAGTTGGGGATGCCGTGCATGATGACGTGGTGGAGGAAGAGGGGCTTGTTGTTCATCTTGATGCTGCCGGAGAGGAGCCCACTGAAGTAATGAATGTACCTAGAGGGGTGACAGGCAGCTCAGGTGCAGGACCCGCAGCAGAGCATCCTCCTTGGCCCCTCTGCACCCAAACACCCTGGCCACATGGGCAAAATGCATGCTGGGACCCACCTCTTCTGGGATGGCTGTCCCACTGGCACCACTTTGTCCTCATAGAAGCGCTTCATGGCAAACCTATCCAGAGCCTGGTCTGCACTGTGGGCACAAAAAGGTAGATGAGATTGAAGGAAACCATCAGCACCGGCATCCCAGCACTGACAGGATGGAGGTCCCCTCCAGGACCACATGTCCCTCTCACCTGGCCGAGATGTTGCTGTAGTGCATGTAGGCAGCCACCACAACCCCCAGCCGGCCACGGTTCCCCTGCAGGCACAAAGCAGAAGGGGTGTCATGGGGGCAGCAGTGCCTGCAAACACCCAGGCACAGCCACCTTGTACACAGGCAGGCACACTCCAGTACCTATACACATGCATGGACCCACACACACACCCCAGCCCTTACAGACACACCAATGCACACACATGCTGACACCCATCCACAGCCCAAGCTGCAAACCACCATGTTCCCTGCATCCCTCAGCCCCATCCCTGCAGCCCCCCAGAACCTCCCTGCCGTGCACCCTGGGGACAAGGTCCAGCCCACCTTGTTGTGCAGCACCACCACGTTGTGTGTCGCTGTGTTGAGCCATGTGTCCATGGCTTTGCAAATGCTGCAGATCTTCTCCAGTGCCGGGGTATGTAGGTCAGGCCACCCAAAATCCAGCACCTGGGTGGGAAAGGAGGGACAGCCAGGGGTCACACCCATGCCAAGCTCTGCCACCTCTGTGGTCCCCAGTCTGACAGCATGTGAAACCCAGGACATGAACAGTGCCACAATCCCCTGTCGTGCCCCTCCACCAAGACTCCTTCCCTAGAGGGGCCACTAGGGTCCCAGATCTCAGCCCCCCTCTGGGTCACTCAACCCAGCTGCTCAGGGCTTCCCCACAGTCCTAGGGACAATGCCTTAGGGAGGCCTCCAAGAGGCTCTAACAGCCAGGTTTGGGATGGGGATGGTGGAGGTGGGGTATGCTGACACCCCACAAACTCATTGCGAAGTCCTGTGCTTCCCTTTGGGCTTTCGTCCCTCTGCTCCACCACCAGCTAGGTGGGAAATAAAGGGGTTTTTTTTCCTCCTTCAAACACCTTGCAGCAGGGAGCTGGTCACACAGACAACCCTGTCCCAAGTTCCTCTGCTCCCCACATCTGTGACTCACCTTGGGGTGAAGTTTGCTCACATCATGTCTCCGCTCAGAGAGGTTGAAAAGCTTCAGGGAAGATAAAAGACAGAGTGAGGAGACACCTTCCTCCCTCACTGCCACTCCTCACCTTTTCCTTACCACAAAGGCTCCCCAAATCCCTCCATGAGGAAATTCTTCACTATGCGGGTGGTAAGACATTGGAACAGGTTGTCCAGGTAAAACTGTGGAGGCCCCATCCCTGGAAGTGTTTAAGGGCATGGTGGATGGGGCTTTGAGCT